AATTCTTGATCTCTTTGGAACTCACTACATGAAGGAAATTGTGTAAATTTTTTATCGTATTCCGAATTGGAGAAGTTCGTAGCTTCCTCAAAAGTCTAAAGCATAACCAACATCATCTCTTGTTCTCTCGTAGGAAGAGAAGCCTCCATTCGACATCATTTGCAACCGCTACTTTCCAATTGGACAATGGGTAGACTCTTTTCCCACCCTAACACTTTCCTATATCCAATCTCAATTATTCAAATCATTCTCAATTAATTGTTGTACTCAGATTTTTGTGCATTGTCTTTTTAAGACCAAGCCTAGGATCACAACATGCTCCATCAAAGCCATAAAACCACATACCACATGCTGCTCAGGCGCACCAACACCTTTTTCTTGACCTGGCTCCCCCTGGCTTGGTTGACCGAGCTAACCTCTAATTTTCTGTATGTTTAGCCTCTAATTTTTAAGTCAATTCACCAATAACTCTTTTTATCAAGTCTTTCACAACATATCGATTTTGAGAGCTAAGCATGATTCCGTGGCTCATAAAATGATTCAATAACAATTTGCTTCTCTTGACCAAAAAAATTGATGTCCCAAACTTTAACCAAAATTTCCAAATTTATCTCATTAGACTGGAATGGATTGCTCCAAGGTTAGGCTCAATGCATTTTCCATCCCTTGACTCCTTCAATGATACTATTGGTACATGAATCACAAGGGGTTGGTGGAGTGTGTTTTGTCTAATGGCTTCTATTCCCTTTCAACTTGTCATGATTTTTCAAGAATTTCTTCAGTTAATAATTGATTCATTTTCTGGGTCAAGATGGAAGAAGTACACATGGAAAATTCTTTTTCGTTTTTCTTTTTGACTGTGTTCAATATTGTCCATCAATACGTGAACAAAATTTAATTGCTCTTATTCTTAATCATGTTCAACGTCGTCTACCAAACATTTCTTTTGAGTGTTAAAGCCTAGGGCATATTAGCACTATTGCCAAGTCTTGGTAGAAGAGATGCTATGGCTTTCAAGATTGCACTACTCGTGATGTATTGTCTAATTCGCCCTGTAACGTCGGAAGATGTTGGGTTCAAATACAATGGATTCTGGCTGGCAAACATGAGCCTGGATGGCATAGCTGTTATCACCTCCGGTGGCCTCTTAAAGCTTACGAATATGGTAACACAAGGACAGGGTCATGCCTTCTATCCTAGTCCCATAGACTTCAAGAACTCAAATGGCTCGGCCTGTTCTTTTTCCACCTCCTTCGTCTTTGCCATAGAGTCTAAATATCAGGGTTTAAGTGCAGAAGGGATGACTTTCGTGATTGCATCAACAA